TCACTCAAATGTTGCTGTGACAAGTGAATTTCCCTATTGTGGGATTAATAAAGTTATCTATTTATCTATCTATCTAATAGTAAAGTACACTTACTTCTTGAGACCTGGACCAGCTCAGTGACACTGAAAACTCCTGATGTCACAAAACTCTCCTGGAACTCTGGACCATCTGTAAAAACACAGCACCAGTTACACACTTATGTTGTTTCTTTGTAATTATTTTTGTGACTCTAGAGCAGTAGCAGTTAGTTCTTGTCAGTCAGTTCAGATGTTGACAGATCCTGCATAATCAGATGTTCATTCATTGGTGCTTTTAATGGCTTGCTTTTATTTTGTTTCCCCTTTTCTTTATTTATATATTGTGTAACATTATGATCATGAAAAAGAATTTAGCACACTGTCATCTTATATCACACTCTTATATCATAATCCAACTGCAGTTGTCCTAACAAAAAACCCGAGCACCAGTTGTTTTGGCATGTGGCACTGATGTCCAGTGTCTGCGTTACTGCTTGACTCATCAGCAAAAGGATACACAACTGTCAGGAGGTACAGCAGATGATGATAAGTGGTACAGGCCATACAATTTCACTTCTGTAACAAGTGAATTTCCCCAGTGTAGGATTAACAAAGTCTATCTTATCTTATCTTTCATCCTTTCTTACAGATGACTGGTCACTTTTCTTGATCACAATCTTTCTTCTCTTATAAACATTCTAAACATCCTTAGGGTCTTGGTATTTATTTCTGGTTACTAAATCATCTATCACATCAAACTGAGCTGATGGCCTCTTTACTGTATTTGTTCACATTATTGAACAAACTGATGAAGACAATGTTTATGCATGTGCATTTACACTACAGAGTAAGTAAAAACAGAATGTTCCTCTGTAATGGAAGATCCTTTACATTACCCATGGTGGCGGTTCGACTGTCCTCCTGATCAGAACCCACTCCTGTACGACTGGGACTGCTGCTCTGCTCTGCCTCTGGGATGAGATTGGGGGGGG